TCATTGGTCATTCAAGTCTAGATTTTCTAAGGGTGGATTCGACAAGGGATTATGGTGAACTAGACGGGGAAAATTGGACTGATCAAGAAACTTTACTGCTTCTTGAAGCAATGGAGATTTACAATGAGAATTGGAACGAAATTGCTGAGCATGTTGGTACCAAATCAAAAGCACAATGCATTCTTCATTTTCTCCGTCTACCCATGGAAGATGGAAAATTGGAAAATATTAATGTTCCGAGCACACATTTGTCATCCAATGCAATGGATAGAGATGGTAGTGGAAGACTGCATTGTTACTCAAACGGAGATACTGCAGGTCTATCTTATACTTTTAATTCAACTTTCTTGTTATATGGTTTTGATTTGGTATCTATGATGTTACAGGACCTGTCCATCAAGTGAGAGATTCTGACAGCCGGCTTCCTTTTGCAAATTCTGGAAATCCTGTTATGGCTTTGGTGGGTGACTGCTAAGGATATGCTTAAATTATTATTCAACTAAGGCAATTGAAAACATGTTAGTCAGCATAAGATGTGGTTATAGTATGGCATTTAGTATCATGTCATAAACTATTTTATTCTTGTTTGTTTATAAAAGAAGTTATAAACAAATCTTGTTCCTTCAAGTTACTTTGCTTCTCTTTGATGGAACCACCAATTTATCTGTTACCGCTCATACAAATGCATTAAAGGGTGATGTGATGGCTAAGATATTGTATCTAGACTCTATAAGTTTCACAACAAATTAAAATGCCTCTTATATTCTGCAGTTCTTATATATTTTGTTTTGGTTGGTGCATTCCAAAGGTTGCCTTTTTAGCCTCTGCAGTTGGACCAAGAGTAGCTGCTTCTTGTGCTCATGCAGCATTAGCAGTATTGTCAGTGGATAATTCTGGCAGCACTTCACAGGTGGAAGCACCTGGGCATGATAATAGGTGTGTATGGCTGTCATAGCAAGTGCAGTTTGTTGGATGAAGTGTTTTCTTCGGGGTTATTACTCATTTTTGTGCATTTTATCTTCTGCTTTTGGCCTTTTATTTTATTTTATTTAAAAAATCTTATAAGTGGAACTGAACCTTATTTAAAACTCCCACAAAAGACAAAATAGAAAAGAAAAGACAATACTAATTTGTGTCTGTATCCTGTTCCTATTTTAGAATAGTATAGTGGGTGGAGTGGGAAAATTAAGCTCAACTTGTTGGGTTCTTTTTGTGAACTTGGTAGTTTAAGAATTTTGTATTAAAAATTAATATTTTTCACATGTAGGACAAATTCCGAAAGCATACGATGTCGAGATGGTGGGTCTCACGGAGAAACAGCGGTATCAAATAATAATAATAATGGTCAGTTATGGTTGCCGTTTTTATATGTTGCCTATATACAACCTTACCCCAGCTCTCTAATAAAACCCATTATGTAATTCTCTTCTTGGGAATACTTCTTTTTTATTTCAGAGGATAAGGCTAAGGTACATGGTTCATGGGGACTAAATGATGGTAGGACAACCCCACTATCTGCTGAGAAAGTTAAAGATGCTGCTAAAGCAGGCCTCTCTGCGGCAGCAATGAAAGCAAAATTATTTGCCGATCATGAAGAGCGAGAAATTCAGAGGTTGTGTGCTAACATAGTTAATCATCAGGTATCACTGTTGTTTTCTGACTTTAATTCCAGTATTAAACTAAAATGTTAGATATAGTTAATTTCTATTTTGTCCATTTCTGTCTGAATGGTGTGCATCCATGTGTGAAAACAAGTGAACAATTTTTTAGAATAAAGNATCAAATAATAATAATAATGGTCAGTTATGGTTGCCGTTTTTATATGTTGCCTATATACAACCTTACCCCAGCTCTCTAATAAAAGCCATTATGTAATTCTCTTCTTGGGAATACTTCTTTTTTATTTCAGAGGATAAGGCTAAGGTACATGGTTCATGGGGACTAAATGATGGTAGGACAACCCCACTATCTGCTGAGAAAGTTAAAGATGCTGCTAAAGCAGGCCTCTCTGCGGCAGCAATGAAAGCAAAATTATTTGCCGATCATGAAGAGCGAGAAATTCAGAGGTTGTGTGCTAACATAGTTAATCATCAGGTATCACTGTTGTTTTCTGACTTTAATTCCAGTATTAAACTAAAATGTTAGATATAGTTAATTTCTATTTTGTCCATTTCTGTCTGAATGGTGTGCATCAATGTGTGAAAACAAGTGAACAATTTTTTAGAATAAAGTAAATTAAGCAATTGGAGATTACTAAAACTCAGGTGCAGAGCTATTATTTTGATGTTTTTTAACTTTTGTTTGTGGCTTGCTGTTATTATTGCCAGCTGAAAAGATTAGAGTTGAAGCTGAAACAGTTTGCGGAAATCGAAACATTGTTAATGAAAGAATGCGAACAACTGGAGAGAACAAAGCAAAGGTTTGCTGCTGAACGGTCTCGTGTAATATCAGCACGTCTTGGAACTGCAGGAGCCACACCCACAATGGCTGTATCGGGTGTTGGTCCTTCAATGGCTAGCAATGGCAACAACAGGCAACAAATGATCTCTGCTTCTCCCTCACAGCCCAGCATCTCAGGGTATGGCAGCAAACAATCACTTCATCCACATATGTCCTTTGCCCCACGACCTTCGATGTTTGGATTGGGACAAAGATTACCGCTATCTATGATACAACAATCACAATCACCTTCTTCAACTGCCATGTTCAATGCCCCTAGTAATGTGCAGCCCACGTCCAATCATCCATTGTTGAGGCCTGTATCAGGAACAAACTCTGGTTTAGGTTAAATAGGGGAGTAGATTTTGAGTTTTGGAACTTAAAAGGTGTAATTTTCATGGGTAATCATCTATTTCAGAAAGTGAAGAGGAGGTTAGGTGGATGTGGCAAGAAAGTTATTTAGTCTGTAGATCCTGTAATTCGTTGAAGTTGATTGTGAAACTGTGCTTAAAGGAAAAATAAGTATCATGTGATGTTCCAAAGTTGTTTATTTTCTTGTGACCTTTAGGTACCTTGAAACCTTGAAATCTTGTCAAGCCCCACAGATCTTCTATAGTTAGATTAAATTAAAACTACTTGGATGAATAAGGACCACGAAATGGTGACTGCTGTCTTCAGTCCTCGTGATATGTTATGTAGTCCACGGTTCTTGGTTTTGTTCTTATTGTGTTGTGCTCATGGAGACCGACTTCTGGATTCACCTAGTGTTAAAAATTGAAAAAAATCGCTAGTTGAGAGAAAAAAAGGTGTAGCTCTACGTAGAGGGAGAAATTTAGATGAAATTAATATGATTGTACTGAAATTGATTACAACGAGAACAGCAACATAATTTGATATTCTTATATAAGTTATATCTTTGATGTCGATGTGGATAAATTGGCACAATTAATCATTCATTCGTTTTATCATTAAAACACTAAAACTTAAAACGAATACAAAATTTTGAGATAACTTTTGTGTTTTGGTTTAGGATAAATTATTGGTAAAAAAATATTATTCTTATTAAAAAAGTTTATGAGCATTTATGATTTGACAGGGTCGTCTAAACTAGATTTCTTCCAAAGGCAATTATACAGCAACACAAATGGTTATGAGAATCAGCCATCACCTCTCTAAATATGAGCGAGTTTAAGGTTTGTGACTCTTTTAGTGAAAGTACTTGGTCACCCACCGAGAGATATTGCTAAAAAATTTGTAACAAATGAAACAAAAATTTTAAATTTTATACTTTTGTTTTTTTATTTTTTTACCTAAACTAAAATAAATGAATAAGAGGTCATCCACCATGCTAAGAACTTGTTTCATC